ATCGAATCTACACCAAACACATGCAACAGGAATGACTCATCACTCATACCAGAAATGTGGAAAATACTAATACCAATCAAATCAAGTGAAAAATAATGGGACTATATGAATGAAGTTAGGAAATAATCGTGTAATTGATTACCTTGATATGATTATGAGCAGAAATAAAATGTGCTCGAAACGTGGTCATCAGTAAACATTACTGGATAACACTCTGAGACTTTATCAAAACAATAAATTTACGCATATTGGAAAAGAGAAAGCTGGTGGTAGTTAAAACAAAACCAACAAGACTTCATCAGTCAATGAAATCCATAACAGGCAGTTTTAGCCGGCCGACCAGCCAGCCAGTCATTCAGTCAGCCAACTAGCCAGTCACGTTGGGAGGTGTAGACTGCTTGGCTAGTTGCAGTCTTCACGATAATAATAATAATAATAACTAATGAAGGCTGGAGACAATCGGTGATATGGCCAGCTCAAAATCATCATTCTCAATGACTGGTGCAGATGCATTCACTCCATGTGATGATTTATCACGTCCAATAAAACTCTGTTGTTCTTCCATCATATATTCCGCTTGTTTTTCCCTATCTATCACTCACACTCCTGTTTATCATCTAACCTGTCTTTTGATGAACCTCTCTCTCTCTCTCTCTTTACTCTCTTCTCTTGCTTTGTGTGTTGTTACACGGAGAGAGAGAGAGAGACTGTGTGTGGCAACTCGACCTGTTGGACATCCATGTGTAAAGTTCCACGTTGAAACCAGTCTGTCAATTGTAATGTATACATGCATAATTACTGACAAAGCTGAAGTACTTTAGTTCATTTACCTTCCAGTTTAATATTATTATTATTATTGTTAACCTTGAGGAATACTAACAGGAATACTAACCAGAAATAATTACCTTGACATAATTCACTGTTTAATATTTAATCTGAGTAAGAAAAAAGATCAGCCTGGTAACTAAATTTAAAAATTAGTCACCCTTTAATGAATTTATCACATGACTGCTATGCTATGCTAGAAAAAGAGTTAACTGTTAAAATGCATAGGTCATTCATTGGACATTGGACAAATGATCAGCGGATAACTCTAGTAACCTGAATGTATTGACTGACTTTCAACCATCTGACTAATGTCCTTCAGCTTGTGTCCTTCTTGTTTGTTTGGTCTCCACTTGACGACGTGTGATATTACTTGGAACACTACTCATAGTGTGTGTCTGTGTGTGCGGGACACACACGTTTTAATTGATATCTCCATTGGGTCACCTCTTGTAACTATGTTTATACAAATTCACACAGATTTGGGCCAGACCAAGTACACCGGGAAGGATAGGAAGAGGTGGGCATTTAGTATTTACTTAGGCTCGAAGTTTCCCTAACAGTGGTGTTTCTTTCTGTTTTTTTTTTCAACTTTTACAGGATGGGGTTGCTAGCCTCACACATCCAACCATTCCTCTTTCCCAGTCCTACTACTAAAGGCTTGGTGAGGTAAAGGAGGACGTCGGCCAGGGATCGAACACCTCGAACCACATCAGGCATGGTTGGAAAGCATTTGCATATATTATGTATGTATATACATAAATGCAGTTGTACAGCGAAAGAGGAGAATGACAGTCGCCTTGAAAACAGCCACTTCGCTGAATTACTCGGCTTATTATTATTATCATCATCATCATCATCATCATTATTCATTTATTTTTTCATCTGGCTATATCGCAAAATTTGATAAAAGTTAAACTTTCATCCGCCAAAATACTTGGGTGGTCACTGAAGACGACTAGCTAGTCAGTAATATTTGATCATTTTACTGAAAAGTTTCAAATACCTATGGTGGAACACCTTCACTCCACTCCAGCCTCCTCCTCCTGCTCTATCATCTTTACAAAATGCCTATTCACTTCAATCTCCTGCTCCTCATAAGGTTTGTTTGTTTGTTTGTTTTTTGTCCAAAGTCACCCTAGGACTCCCTAGGTTAGACGCATCTCCTTGAATTTGGATTCCCTGCAAAAACGACCATTTTCAAGTCCTCCTCAATGTAGGTCGAAAAATCCTTCTAATATCCTTTTAAGTGTTTGTTGTTGGACGATAGATTATTGGCTGACTCGTTGGAAATGCTTTCGGTGACATGTATACCAAAAATCTGTGGAATATGTATATATGCAAGCACTGAATGGCTTGTTGTCAGTACTGAAGATTCTGATCTTGTTCCTTTATGGTCTGTGATCCTATACACTGAAGGCTGACAATGATAGGCTCATATTACAAGAAGATTTCAACAAATTATTAAATTTTGTTCAAAGAATGAATGCTACTGATCAAAGTAGCTAAATGCGTGACTATGCGAATTGAATACTAAAGCGTCAGTTTATACAAACTAGAGGGATTTAAGTGTCATAGTATGTCAGGATTTAAAGGAAATTACAGTACATTGTTGGGCGGTGGCTGCAAGTCCTTATGAGAAATTCACAGAGCCTCTACTAGAATCACCAGAGATATGTTTACCTTCATATATACATCTCTGGTAAGGTCAGGACTAGAAAGCTGTATTCAGGAAGCCAGTCCTTGTCTTAAAAAAAGGGACTCATATATATTCTTGAAAGGGTTCAAAATAAGCCTAAACGTGTGATTCTTGGCATGACAAATTTATCATACGAGGAAAGACTAGACAAGTTAAATCTCTTCTCCCTGTCAAACCGAAGGCAGAGAGCAGATCTAATCACGATGTTTAAAGTTTTAAATAATAACTAAGGACCTGATCTATTCTGTCTTTTCCATCCCACCAGGTTAGAACATCTTAGAGGACATTGCAGGATAGTAAAAAAGCTAAGGAGGAAAAATATATTGCCGTGGAATATTGGTTCTCACACTGAATCATCAACTCCTGGAACTGACTCCCAAAAGAATTGCTGTCTTCACCTTCAAATTACTCGTTCAACAAAGGTTTGGAGAAGCACAGAAATTTACTAGAAAAGGATTAAAATACACTTCAAGTCTTCCAGCCTCAATTAGTCAATCTGAATCTTATACCAAGTTTGTCAAATGATATCAGGTTAATTCAAAGGCATCACCATTGCTACCAAAGGTTGACATTAATTAATTAATTAGAGAATTAATGAGCGATTTAGCGAGTTACTTCCATGTATCTTCGTACATCGATGGTTCACTGATAGAATACTGGTCAACTAAGCCTTTCACGGTCAAGGATTCCATTCTCTGACGATCTCCTTCCTCCTAAACCTCGCCTACTAAGCCTCCAGTAAGTCTGATAAACAGGGAAGGTTGAGCATGTAGCTAACACTTGCATCCCAAAAGAAGTCGTGACCAGTGTGGTCCATCCAGTTGTCACATGTGAGGATGGATATCAAACCGACGACAATGGTTGGTGCCATTCGCGCTGAATCACGAATTGGTAGAAGTTAGATAGAATTCATGCGCTGGCTGGCCATTGAATTGGGTCGGGTCCCAGTGGCTGCCTAATGGTATACGAGCTCGCAGGCCTGGCAGCTAGAAAGTCCTGGGTTCAAACTCCTTGTGATGGGTGCGTACTGACGATGATTCCCTAGCACTAGGATGAAACAGAAGCTGTCCAGTACTCTCGGTGGCTGGTTTTCAATGCTTCTCTAACTGATATCAATCCGTGATCAACTCGTAAAAAACACAAAATTCATCCTTATAAACCAACCATAGAAAAAACAATACCCCTACTACTGAAACTCTAAAAACTCTATTTTGAAACCTCATGTTCCACACTCGAAACTCAAAGGAATAAATCAAAACAAGGAAATAATTCTTTGTAACTTTATGATCACTTCAAACTACAGTAATATGTGCTGAAGTTCATACGAGAATCGAGGAGAATATGTGACTAACTGCCTTCCCCCTTTTTGGTTACTGACGATATTAAGATTTTGAAATATTAAAGATCTCTATAGATCAGGTGGATGTTTTGTAGCACTGTTTTATTCTCCGAATGAATTGCTAAACCTTCATCGCCCTATTGGATAACATCTTCAAGACTAACTTGTCTGAATGACGATAAGGTGAGCAGCATCGAGGTTAGACTTCGGTCGAGTGCTAGGTAAGGAGGGAGGGGAAATCAATCGACAAGGCTGTGAAATTACATCGACTGATTGTAATGGTTAGAACATGTGTTATGTATGCCTAGTCATCGTTTTCCTCGACGGGCAATGTTAGCTGACATAGGGTCAGGTTGGAAAAGAGCTAGTGGCGGTCCAATCCAAACATGGCTTCATCAACCAATGAAATCCACAACAGTTAGTTTAAGTCACGTAGGAAGGTGCAGACTTCTTGGTTGGTTGGGGTTCTCGGGATAGTAAAAAACAATGGCTGGCGACACTCGGTGATATGGCTCAAAGTGATCGTTCTCACTGGCTGGTGGAGATCCATCCACTCCTTGTGACTTATGATTTCCAGTGAAACTATTTTGTTCTTCGTTACTTCTATTTCTTTGTCTCACACCTCTGTTTACTGTCTCTATTATGCATTTCTACTACTTTCTTCTCTTGCTCTGTGTGCTACAAGGAGGGAGTTTGGCGACTTGAACTGACGCAAATCGATGCAAAGTTCTATGTCGAGAACAGACAGACAGAAGGGGAATTCATTAATCCCATTTCATCACGTTTATTATAAGCCAAACGTACCTTATTTCTCATCGAGACTGTGTCTCACTTCAGCAAAAAAAATCAATCAGTGACAAAAACAACTAAAAACTTCAAAAGTAAGTTATACCAAGTTAAAATATCACAAAAACCTATGGTGCAATGACTAAAATACTCGTACAACCACGTGGGAGGTCTAGATTTGTTCGATTGATGATCAACCAACCTACTCTTATATACTTCACTTCGTTTATAATGCCTAACAGTTAGTCTGGAGGACAGTAAGCCCGTTGAACCTTCAGGCTAACACAGTCTCTCACCTCACACGAAGAAACATCAAAAGCATCAACAGTTAAATAAAGAAGAAATACTTACCGTCCAGATTTTGTGATCACCATTTCAGTAGTCATACTATGAAAATGTTTCCATAATTCAGAATCTAATAATTCTGTTCGTTGAACTAATGTTGTATCGATCTTATCTGAATTATTCGCCGCGTATGGATCAGTTGTATAATAGTTATTATCATTATCATTATTATTACTATTACTATTATTATTGATATTATTATCATCCTCCATAATACCGGAAGTAGGAGTAACAATGGTCTGAGTATGAGTATTTGTCGACGTACTATTCAAATTACTTTGAGCTAATTTATCAATACATACGCTTAATTGCCGCGTATTCAACTTCGATGTATTATTATTATGCAGACTTGTGATAGTAGTACCAAGAGTAGGGCATTGTTTAACAGGGTCGAATTCATCCATTAAATCAATATAATGATGTTGTGGACTGTTTATTGATTGATTTTGACGACGATAGAGATGATTCGATTGGTGTTGTTGTTGTTGTTGTGTCTGATGATAATTAGATCGATCATGTAGACGTATTGATCTCTGATGATAGATCATATCATCTGTGAAATGATTGACTGAAGTGACAGTTGACGAGGATGATGACGTTGTTGTTGTTGTGGATGTTAAGACAGCTGATGTCGTAGATGCTAATCTCGCCGTCGCTGTCGGTGTTGTTGTTGTCATCGTTGTTAATGGTGACGAACAACAACAAGACGAAGACGTTGACGTTGGTAACGTCGATGTGAATGATACATTCCCCTGTAAATGATTCGATGTTTCTGTATATGAATCGATAATATTACGTTTCATAAACATCATTAACATCATCATAAGTAAGAGATTATTATTATTACTATTACCATCATCGTGATTAATATTATTACTATTATTTTTAGAAACATCTTGTTCAACATATTGAACACCTTGATCATACTCTTTTAATCCTTCTAAATGATATTTATCATTGAAATTATTTAAACATCTTAATAAATCAACCTGCTCAATTGAATTATTTAATAAATTTGATTTTGGCGTTGGCGTTGCTGGTGTTGTTGTTGTTGTTGTTGACATTTGTGATGAAAGAGATGATAATAAATCTGTATACAGTGAACTATTGGACATTGAATGTAACGCAGGCACTGGCAACAATGATGACACAGAAGGATCATTTAAAAAGTAATTTGTTGTAACATTATTTAACGTTTTCATAAATATATTTAACTTATCTGCATCGATTATTCTATTAGAAGAAGATAACGATGACATTGTAGAATTTATTGGCGTATATTGTGATGGTAGGGATAACAGGGATTCGGTTGACGGTGAAATTTGAAGATTCGATAGAGTTAAAGGAAATTTGAACATTGAATTTTTTGTTATTAGTGTTGTCGGTGATATCGGTGATTTACATGAAGTATTCATAGGAGTAGAAGTAGGAGTTGGAGTAGGCATAGGTGTAGTCGTCGTTATAGGAGTAGTGCTCAGTGAATCATTCAAATTGTAATGAGATCTATTCAATAATAATACTTGTGATCTAGATACCTCCGGGTTGAATTCATTATGATTACTGGTTGTATCATTGATAGGAGATTCTGTTGTTGGAGATGTTGTTGATGATGATGATGTTTTCGACAGGATAATAGATGTTTTCAACGGTGATAATGAAGATTTATCTGTGAAACATAAATTTGAATTTTTTTGACTAATCAACATTATTGCTCTACTGTGATGATGGTGGTAAAGAGATTAATTTTATCTTTGAAGTTAGCTGACTTTTCGGTTATCTCTAAAACACATATAAAGCCGAATGAATGAACGGATGAATACACGACTCCACCTCCTTCTCGTCGTACGTTTCACCTTCTGATTCCTCCTTTCTTCCTCGTCGTCTTTTTTGTACTGCTTCTACTATACTCTTTCTTTCTCTCAAGTCTTCTTATTTAATTATTACAAATAAAGGCTAAAATGATTGGATATATTACATTGATATGTGGGAAGGGGGTAGGGTTATTATATATACATATGTGAAGGTACACTAAACAAATTAGATTATCACACTTTTTAACCAATAGGGCATCAGCATCATCATTATTATTATCTATCATGTTCACACTTGTTTCAGACACCCACCCACACACACACCTACACACATACGTATACATATTGGTGTGAAATTCAACAATACAGTTATACAAATAACTGACAGACACATATGTATATATGCATATACAGACAGACATACATACTTACTTACACACACATACACACACACACGTAGATTCGAACACCTTCAGCTATCTAGCTGGGTAGGTGAAGGCAAAATACCGACAGACAGTCACAGGATAAATCCTATTAGATTATGATGACCCCCTTTTAATTGTATTTAACACATTCTAGCTAAATTTCCTGTCTAGGCGTGTATTATTACCATTACATGGACTGGGGACATTTATATTAGAGAGAATCGTTTGTTCTTTTTTATTTTATTTTATTTTTATCAAACTTATTAAATAAATAAGGCGGTGGTGGTGAGATTGACTAAGTTGGATTGGTTGAAAATAATATCCCGTTAAGTATGTGTGTATATATGCATATATGCGTTATATATAGTTTGTAGTCAAATAATCTTGGCAACTGTAACAGAATACAGGCGAACAAGGTGACAGACAATGTGTTATCGTCTGAATCGTTTTACCATCTCTCTCACCTTCGAGTATTTCACTTTTCTCTAATTATTTTTAGCAAAAAAAAGGTTCTCGTCTAAGAAAAAAGCAGGTTAACAGACATTGGTGTAGACACGATGGATAGGGTCATCTATCTATCTAGCTATCTATCCGTCTATCGACAATCCGAGAATAATAATAATAATACTAGATTGTGCCTTGACAACTAACAACATTTTACCTAAGGTCAACATGGTTAAAACACACCTTTATCATCGTATAAATAAACAAAAGTCTATACAACTTTGACAATGACAGTTGAAATTCGACAGTTGAAAATTCAGACGATTACATGTTTTTTTTGTGGGGTGGAGGGTGGGTTGGGTTGAGTTAGGTGAGTGGCGTTAATTCGATTCCATCTGGGCCAAGTTATAGAGTATACGCATTGTATTTGTCGGAAAACAGGACCTGCCGTGGTTATAGCGTCACTATGATCGAAATGAGGTGTACATTTCATCGTGATGTCGTGTTGGATCGTGTATTGATTGCTCGTTAAGGTCACATTCAAGGTTTAGAGTGTTGGTTTGTAGGGATTTGATTAGTCACAGGATTTCATCATGAGCTGATGTTAGTGACAGAAGCATTGGAAAACCGCCAACAAGTACTGGATAACTGTTTTGTCTTAGTGTATGGGACTTTTGGGCAGTACGCACCCACCATACAGGTTTCAAAACCATGTCCTTCTGGTTACAAGACTAGTGAGCTCGTAGACCATTAAGCCACTGGGATTCAATGCAATCGCCAACTGCCATGAATTCTAACTTCTGCCAATAGACGGGAGTCATCACTAGCGAATATTTCTCCTCACACCCGACGACCTACTGTATCCTACTCGCCGATCACGACCTACCTAAATAGGACCAGTCGCTGGTGAGCATCAAATTGATGGTGATAAGGTACAGCAGATAGGGTGTGAGAACATTGGCTAGTGTTAGTCGCGAATTGGCAGGCTGGAAAAGAGCTAGCGGCGGCCAAACCAAAACTTGGCTTCACCAGTCAATGAAATCCACAACAGTTAGTTTAAGCCAGCCAGCCACGTAGGAAGGTGTAGACCTCTTGGTTGGTTGGGATCCTGCGGACGGTAAAAACCAATGGATGGAAACAATTGCTGATAGGGCTCAAAATCGTTCTCAATGGCTAGCGCAGATGCATCCACTCCTTGTGACTTATGATTTCCAATGAAACTATATTGTCCTTCGTTAGTACTATTCCTTTTTCTCGCACTTCTGTTTACTGTCTCTATTATACATTTCTTCTACTTTCTTCTCTTGCTTTATGTGCTAAAAGGAGGGAGTGTGGGGCGACTTGAACTGCCGTACGTCAGTGCAAAGTTCTATGTCGAAAACAGACAGACACACAGACACTAGAAGGAATTGGAATTCATGGATCGAGTCCTAGTGGCTGGATAGTTTATGAGCTTAATTTGTAACCGAAAGATCGCCGATTCCAACCCGTGTAGTGGGTGCGTATTGCTGAACAGGGTCAAGCACTAGGATGAAACAACTGTCCAATACTCGCAGGTGGCTTTCCAATGATTCGTTAACCGACGTCAGCTGTCTTCTTTTTATCATCTTCATTTTTCTGTGCGTCGGTGGTACAGCCATAGGGTTTGGGGTTCGTTGCCCGGCCACCAATGCTCTCTTTTACCTCGCTAAGCCAGTAATAAGACTAGTAAAAAGAGGGAAGGTTGGACATGAGGCCAGCATCCTCACCCTGTTAAAATAAGAAATTTTTTTTAAGAAGTCTTCATTTTTCTAGTAAATGGCCGCCTGAAGAGTCCCAAACTAGCCTGACGAAACGGCTGGCTATCCAGTACTCCCTGCAGGTTTTCCAGTGGTTCTCTAACTGATGTCTGCTCATGATGAAATTCTCCAACCAAATAATTTTAAGGCATATTAGAGAAAAATTTATTATTGATTGTGTTTAATCATTATTTTGTATATTTCAAAATTGTTTTATGGGTCACTATAGTTAAACTTTGGCCATTAAATATTTAACGTGATATAATAACCTCTAACTACTGATATCTATCTGTAAGTAGTATATGTTAGTAGTATATTACTATCATAACATTGAGATGTGTTTTTTTTTGATACCATCAAAGGGAATAAAAAAAGCAAGCATAACTACATGTTGACACATACTACTGATTTCCTAATACATATATAAGTAGTTCGATACTACTCACATCGTTTGGGGATAACAAATCACACGAATTCTATTTGATACAGTGAAAATTCAGTCAAGAAAGCCAATAAAAGTGCATGATACTTATACTACTGGTATACTCGTGTAAGTAGTTGGGTGGCATTCACATCAATCAATACTCTTAATGCAGTAGTGTTCAAAAGGTGTATTTATACTGACAAGACTGATTTTTGAGTTGCATTTATTCAAGAACTAGTGTCTTATTATTATTGTTCCCTTGGGTTCCTAGTGGAATATAGGGCTTCACCTGCACGTCTCCACTTGCTTATGTCTTCCTTCTGCTGTACTTTTCACCTCCATCCATCCATGTTGGTCCGTACTGTTTCAACTCCTCTTCAACAATGGCCTGACGCGCGCGATGTCACCCAGTGGCGGCCTCCTCAACGAGCGAGTGTCCACCTCCATCCATCTCCACTTTCTACAACTGCTTATTTGTTAGTTGGCGATTGGTTCTTGTTTTGTTTTGTTAGTTCCCATAGTTTCTTGTTGGTGATTGTTTCCGGTCCGGCCATCTGATCTTCAGTATAGAGCGATAATTGACAGTTTTTGATAAAGGTCTGCAACAGGCTGTTGTAAATATTCTTTGTCACCCGCCCGCCCGCCCGCCCGCCAAGTTTCTCATCCGTTCCGTATAGAAGAACTGACTGACTTGATGTTGTTTGTATTGAAAATCCGACCGAATTTTGTTGTTGATGGTGGCTGAGTGACGAAGATTTCCAGATTGGTTTCAGGTTGATAAATGTGTTTTCCGCCTTCCCGATTATTATTATTATTACATTAATTAATGTCCTTTCCAGGTGACTCAGGAATTAAGGGTTCGGTATCAGTTGGAATTATGGGTTGAAGAGAACCCAACTAGGACGACACACATGTCTATTCAGTGGTTACCTATATTTCAGTTATTTCGTAAGTAACATCCTTTTATACCTTGTATTGCGTCGGTGGCACAGTGGTTAGGACTCTCGCCGACCCTGAAGACGCACACCTGATATCTATGGTCGGCCTGCGAGATTTGGGCTACCGATAGATGTCACATGCTGAAAATTCCATACTTGTACTAAAACATACGGTGTGGAATCAAGCTGCAGTAAAATAAAATAAAATACTTGAGTAATGAACTGAATCGAAAAGGTAAGTAGATAATTATGGTGTAAAATGTGGTGAATATCGTAGGTTGAAAATCCATCTAATTGGTAAAGAATCCTCACGGGACTGTATCCACATCGACTATGTGCATCCATTCTTTGAACCAACTTTAATAATTTGTTGAAATCTTCTTGTAATATGAGCCAATCATTGTCAGCCTTCAGAGTATAGGATCACAGACCATAAAGGAACAAGATCAGAATCTTCAGTATTGACAACGAGCCTTCCAGTGCTTGCATATATACATATTCCACAGATTTTTGGTATACATGTCACCGAAAGCATTTCCAACGAGTCAGCCAATAATCTATCATCCAACAACAAACACTTAAAAGGAAATTAGAAGGATTTTTCGACCTACATTGAGGAGGACTTGAAAATGGTCGTTTTTACAGGGAATCCAAATTCAAGGAGATGCGTCTAACCTAGGGAGTCCTAGGTTGACTTTAGACAAAAAGAAACAACAAATAAACAAACCTTATGAGGAGCAGGAGATTGAAGTGAATAGGCATTTTGTAAAGATGATAGAGCAGGGGGAGGAGGCTGGAGTGGAGTGAAGGTGTTCCACCATAGGTATTTGAAACTTTTCAGTAAAATGATCAAATATTACTGACTAGCTAGTCGTCTTCAGTGACCACCCAAGTATTTTGGCGGATGAAAGTTTAACTTTTATCAAATTTTGCGATATAGCCAGATGAAAAAATAAATGAATAATGATGATGATAATAATAATAATAAGCCGAGTAATTCAGCGAAGTGGCTGTTTTCAAGGCGACTGTCATTCTCCTCTTTCGCTGTACAACTGCATTTATATATACATACATAATATATGCAAATGCTTTCCAACCATGCCTGATGTGGTTCTAGGGATTCGATCCCTGGCCGACGTCCTCCTTTACCTCACCAAGCCTTTAGTAGTAGGACTGGGAAAGAGGAATGGTTGGATGTGTGAGGCTA